GCCCACCGGAAGCTGGAAACAGGCCCGTTTCTGGACTTCTGGTACTTCCAGGACGGCCATTTTTTGCCTTCCCAAGGGTCCGGAGGCTTCTGGGAGGGTGAAAATAGCCCTCCCAGAGCCTCCACGCGGACCCTGCACTTAACCTGCATCGCATGGAGACTCCTGGGAGGGGTGGGTGGGGCCAGTTGGCGGGTTGAAATACCGGTTCGGCGAACCTGATAAAAACTTAACACCTGGTTCTCCCGAACCAGTCTGAATCGGTAGAATCCCATCCTTGCTTTTTACAGTTCATTTTAGTTACCGTTTCAAAGTTACAACGATGCTGAAAAAAAAAGGACCTATGACTGGTTTTTTCCCCCTTACGGCCGTTGCAGCATTCCAACAGTCACGTGATCAGAATTCAGATGCTTGGCAACTGGTTCACATTTATGACGGTTGTGGCATCCCAGGATCCTGTGACCCCCTTTTTGCGACCTTCTGACGAGCCAAGTCAATGGGGGAAACCAGATTCACTTAACAACCATGCTACGTGTTCAGTGGTTCACTTAATCGTGGCAAGAAAGGTCGTAGAATGGGGCAGAACCCCCTTAACAAATGTCTCGCTCAGCAACAACCTGTAACAAATTTTACTTGACAAGATTGAAGAGTATGAGTCAAGGCAAAGATTACACATAGAGATTAATTTTTGCCTCACAGATAATTGAAACCCTTGTCTATTTGTATAAATTGATATGAATTAATCCAATTATAAGTTTTCATGAGGGCCACCTTGAACTTTTCAGCAGAAGAAGCAACTCCTGATAAGAAGGATGCCTTGTGGTTAATCTATAATCCAGTGTTTGTCTTTTATGTTGTTTCTGAATGTTACAGCCATCGTTGTTTTTCGCAGAACAGCAGGAAGGCCTCACTAACCAACAAGCAGAGCTTCTTTTCTGTGATTCAGTGGCAATCTGTCTGGCTTGGCAGATTTACCGCCATAATTTATTCAAGCAGCTTCCTTCTGTTGCTTCCTTCCACAAAGGGCCATGACCAGAGCTCCACCCTTGCGCAGCACTCTGCGGAGCTGACCTTGCCAAATCATCACCCTTTTCACCGAGACCTGCTCCGGTATGCCAAACTTATGGAGTGGTTAAAGAACACGGATTATGGGAAATATGAAGGGCTGACGAAGGTAAGTCGCTCAAAAGAGCGAAATTAGGATAGGGAATGAGGCACGCTTGCAAAAACCAAGCACATTTTTCACACCTGGAACTTCTAGACCAGCGGTTCTAGACCAAATCACTGGCTGGGGGGGGGGGGAAGAGGGGAACCAGGTCACGTGAGTTGTGGGCGGGTGCGTGCATGCATGTGCAGCTTGACTTGGGCAAGTCAGGTGTGTGTGTGCATGCACATGTGTGCTTGCACATGCGGGCTGGCGTATCGCTCGCACAAGTCGCACGCTGTTCTGGACCCAACCGGGTTCCCAAAGAGCAAACACAGACAAAGGCAGCAGCCCCCACCTTTTAAGGTTTAATAACGAATTCTGTTCTGAAGGCTGCTTTCCACTAATTAGCTCTGACAAAGAGCCTTGCCAAGGTGTTTGTCAAGGTTGCCAAAAACCCAGAGATAACAACTAATTTACAAGATTCTCCAAACACGAACTAAGATGTCCACCAGTTGAGTTTCAGAGCTTCTTTGCTGTCTGCAAAGAACACTTTTCCAAACCTGGCTTTTATCCTCTTGAGGGAGGGACCATTACTTTGCAGCTTTACTCCCGAGTCGTCTGTGCTTCTGTAATTGTTCTTTCCTCCAAGTAATCCTTCTTGCATGTGCACTTGGCACAGGCTCCTCGGGAACCTCCTCATCGCTGCTGCCACCCCCCACAATCTCTGAAGGCAGCAGTCCACTCCCTGATGGTCCTGGCCCCTCATCAGAGTCCTCGCTCTCCTCAGCCATCTGCACCTGGTGCCGGCTAACCACAACCACACGCAGCCTGGTTGCAAATAGGCCAAGGCCTGGTAGTGGGACACAGCCCAGAGATTGCGGGACCCCTGTTCTAGATCAAAATATCAGATTATTTCCCAGAATGTGCCAGCGCTTTAGTTTGGGGAAAGCTACTTCTCCTTGACAAGGTCTTTTTAAGATTGTATGTTAAGAGAAAACAAAATTCTTTCCTTACAGTGCTTGCAAGTTTTCTTGGCCATTTTTTTTTGCATAAAACTAGTTTTTATTAAAGAAAAATACAGTAATAATAAAAACCGTACTCAGAAAAAGCTACAAAAAATAGAAACCCAAAATGCAAAAAGAAAAAAAAAGAAAAATGAGAAAAAAAGAAAAGAAACAGGAAAAAAAAGAATACTTAAAGGAGCAAATCAAATTAAATCAAATCAGGTGCATGCCAGGCATGATTATTTGCAGTCTCCACTAATAGCCTCGTTGTTCCGATTTGCTTTATCTCAAGATGTTATTATTGGATCAATCTGATTTTATTTCTTTGCCCGTAGCCAAGTACTGTTCTATAGTCTGAAGAGTATGCTGTTATTCTGACCCAGGCTTTGTCAAACGTACTTAAACACAAACTTGTTTTAAAAGCAAAACCTATTTTATTGCAATGCTGGGAATTACTTTCATTCCCAGCCAGAACTAATTATAAACAGTTCCCCAAGATAAGCACATGCCTTTCAGTGTTGAGGAATGCTGCCAAAAACAGAAGTATCTAATTATAACAGAAACCAACCAAAGTATCAGACTTGGAATCTATTGAACTACTTTGCTTCCTGCAAGGAGGTCTGACTTTTATCCCGTATGAAAGTTTTATCCCGTCTGACTTTTATCCCGTATGGGAGGGGCAATCACTTCCCAGCCTTACTCCTGAGTCGCCCCTTCTGTTTCAGCTGCTCTTGCCTTCTAGCAGCTCTGTGCACATGTGCACTGGGAACAGGCTTCCCTTGTTCCTCTGCCTCGCTGCTGCCAGACTCCTGAGGCTCTGGAGTCAGCACCCCATTCCCAGATGGTCCTGGCCCCACCTCTGCATTGGATGCAGGACCCTCATCCAAGTCCTCTCCAAACTCCCTGACTGGTCCCCTTTCTTCCTCAGTGTCTGACTGCTGACGTTTGCACCAGCTGCCGGCGAACCACAACAGAAACCTCCAGGGATGGGATTCTACCGGTTCACATCTATTCGCTAGAACCGGTTGTTAACATTCTAAGCAGTTCGGAGAACCAGTTGTTAGAAGAAATGACTGGCCTAATCCTGTAAGGAAGGCAGGAAGGAAACATTCTGGTGTTGCTTACAGAAACTGCCTCTCCATTAACCTTTATTACATTCTTGGCAGGACTAGACTTCCTGTCCCAGGAACTTCTCTGGAGTTATTTTTTCCTCCTTTGCTGGTACTTTGCTTGTGTGGAGTGACCATTCAAAGTTACAATGGCACTGAAAAAAGTGACTTAGGACCCTTTTTCACACTTACGGCTGTTGCAGCATCCCCACAGTCATGAGTGGCCAGGCGAGGAGATGCGTGCCTCGATGTGAGTGATATTGAGTTGGCCACGCCCAGCCAATAACATGACCACCAAGCCACGTCCACCTAATCACATGACCACCAAGCCACGCCCACAGAACCGGTGGTTAAAAAATTTGAATCCCACCCCTGGAGTACCCACCACTTCTGAATGCATTCAGAATGAATGTATTAATTCCAACCCTTTTCAGATACTCTAGAATAGTGGTCCCCACCTTTTGGGGTACCAGGGACGGATTCATGGAAGACAATTTTCCCACAGACCCGGGGTGGTAGTGGAATGGTTTCAGTTTCTCTCACTTGCCCACTGCTTACCTACAGCTGTGAGGCCCAGTTCCTAACAGGCCCCAGACTCTGCGGGTTGGGGACCCCTGCTTTAGAATAATTATATTTTTCCTTTTATCTTAATTAAAGTCTGTGACCAAATAAAGATTGATTTGAGTTAAGAAGCAAAAATACAAGCAAGTTTAATATTTTCCCCGGAACCTATCCAATTACACATATACACCACATACAATTACATGGAAGGCATAAGCATCTTCTGATATCAACCCTCTTTTTATCTTTTCTCGGCCATTTTCACTAGGTTTCAAGTTGTATTTCAATTGCTTTGGCTGATGGCTTGTCTTTGGCCAGGCACCAAACAAGAGCCAGATGCTTCTTGGTATAGGTTTTTAAGTATGTTTAGCATTTCTTTTTGCATATCTGCAGCAATTATGGATGAGAAATTCAGAAAGAAACAGCAACAACAACAAAACCCTGGGATTTATACATAAGAAACTACTTATGGATTTCACATTAGTGATCTTTTGCAAAGTAGGCATGCTTAGCAGACCAATATTGTTGTAAAATTAAACATACGTGAAAGTTTTGCAATATGGCACTGGACTGGTGCAAGAATTTGGCATTGGTGAATTGGTGACTATTAGCTAGTGTACCTAAGCAAATTAGTAAAAAAAATGGATAAAATTACTAAAAACAAAATCCCCCAGACTTATTGTTTTATAACTTAGAGTAACGATAAATGAAATAAGCTCTTTTCTTAATTCTGTCTTTTGTTCTAATAACTTTACTGCTGTTGACATGCTGATTTGTCAAAATTAACTTAAATGTGCAGACATAAAAACAGTTGAATTGCTTGTGTTCTCTCTTGGAGCCAACCGTATCTGCTTTTTTTTTTTTTTAAGAACTATATGGATTATTTATCACGCTTGTATGATCGAGAAATAAAGGACTTCTTTGAAGTTGCCAAGATTAAAATGACAGGCGCGACCAAGGAAGGAAAGAAGTTTGGTAAGTTTTTTTAAAAAAATAATACTGATGAATCTTTTTTTCAGTTAATCACTCAGAATGCAGCGAAAATACAAAATTATTTCAAACACCTTGAAAAAAAAACTCTTTTCCAGGTGTAAATAAATGTCATTTACTCATTAGTAATAATTATGCTTGGGAGAAGCCTCATCCCTGTGCATAAAAAGGGAGGTCAATAAAAAACTATCAAGTTGTGTTGTGCAACACGTTCAACCAGAAATGAAATAGAATTATTGACATCCTGCAAGGTTGTTAAAATTTTGTTTAGAGCTCGAGAGGACGTTCAGAGTTGTGTAAATTAGATAATGCCTGAGCTGGAAAGATTTATTGAACTTCAACTCCGTTCTTTGCTTGACAGGCAGAGTAACAGTGAGCTTTGTTTAACTGTTGGTGGTGGTGCCACCCTGATTTTCTGTAGTTGAGATCCTGGGAAATTTTCACAGCCTGATCCCCGTGACTCCCAAAAAGACCTGGGTTCAGAAATTCCAACGAGACCGGATTTCTTCATCGGTGCTGTTGATGGATCCTAGGCTAGGGGTTTTTAGCAAAGGGTTCTCTGCCCGGTTGCTGGGTGGGTGTGGCCTAGTCAGCCTCCTGCACCACAGTGTGTGTGGGGGGTTTCCGGAGGCTTTCCTTGAGTCTCCGGGAGGGCGAAAATGGCCTCCCCGGGCTCTGGAGGCTTTCTGGAAGCCGGAAACAGGCCCATTTCTAGCCTTCTCGAACTTCCAGGAGGCCTGTTTTTTTTTGCTGTCCCCGAGCCTCGGAGTGCGCCTTGCACTTGCCTCGCATCCAAAACGGGCCACGTGGGGACTCCGGGGAGGGGAGAGGAGGGGTGGGCAGGGCCAGCCAGGAGTGGGATTTGGGGTTTTTCCAAACTGCACAGAATCTTAGCTAGGGGCTCTGCCGAACCCCCAGCAGCCCAGCCCTGATCCTAGGAATGGATTCTTCTAAATATCTGTGGTGGAATGTACACACACACACACACACACACACACTCACACCCCTTTCCAGCCATATACAGGTAGTCCTCGACTTACAACTGTTTGCTTAGTGACCGTTTGAAGTTACAGCGACCCTGAAAAAAAATGTGACTTGTGTCCACTTTTCACACTTTAGTGACCACTGCAGCTGTCAGGGCTCCAACCAATCACCCCTCATTCGAATCAAAAGGCTCTAGCCCAGGGGTGGCCTGCTACCGGTTCTGTTCGGCTCTATAGAACCGGTAGCTCTGAAGAGCAGCAGACACAGAACCGGTTCTGTGTCTGCTGCCGTTTTGGCCCACCCGCCTGCCTGGGCTCTTACCTGTCCTTTATTTCCGGCTTTTTCAACCTCAGCTGCTTTGCGCGGCACAGCTGAGGTTGAAAAAGCAGGGGAAAAGGGGCTTTTCCAACGCTGCGCACCTGCAGCTGTCCGGACAGCACAGCTTAAGGTGTATTACACCCACGCGCAATGTAAAATCACCGAACCGGTAGTAACACCGGTTGAATCCCACCCCTACTCTAGCCGATCTATCTATCTCAGAGAAAAGTAAATTGGTTTATTAGACTTTGCCATGTTGGCGCGTGGCTTGGTGCAGCCGGTACTAAATCACATCACACATTTCCCCCTTGACCCTGGTCTTTCCCCCACCCCCTGGATGTGACTTCTCCAATGGGACACATCCGTCTCCAAGAGTCACCCATCATGCTCTCCAATAACCTTCTTAATGCTCAGACAACTTTGGGCTGCTGAGGTGATTATCTAGGCATTTCAAGAATGCCTTGTTTCCCCCCCACTCCTTTTTTCTGGCAGCTAAAAGGCCCAAAGGAGTATCTTTTTAGTGGACAGCAGCATCCCCGTGATCAGGCGAACAAAATTCGGGCAGTTGGCCGCTGACTCATACTTACGACGGTTGCGGTGTTCCCCCGGAGTCGCGTGGTCCCCCTTTGCAACCTTCTGACGAGCCAAGTCAATGGGGAAGCCAGATTCACTTAACAACCGGGTTACTTAACTTACCAGTTGCAGGGATTCACTTAAAAACCGTGGCGAGAAAGGTCGTAAAATGGGGCAAAACGCACTTAACCAATGCCTCACCTTAACAATGGAAATGTCGGGCTCAATTGTGGTTGTAAGTCGAGGACTACCTGCATACAACTGCTTTTTTGGAGGGAAGAAAATATATACTTCTAGCAGCTTGTTGTTTTTTTTATTTTATTTATTATTTTGGTTTTGTTTTTTTAATGGAAAGCGAGTAGGGGTGTAGGGAGAAGCAATAAAAAATACCTACATTTCTACAGGTAAACAAATCTTTTCAAGATACACAGGTCGAGTTAGGTTGGATCCGGAAAACCTTGCCTTCCTTCAAGAATAGAACATGGATGTCTCTAGCCAGACCCTGCCCAATTAAGAAAAAAAAATATATAATATGTGCAGTTGAATTTTTATCATGCGTTTGCTCCGTTTTTTTAATTGCTTGTTCGTCCCCATCCTTGATGTTTTTAATTTAAAAAGTCGGTATTGGATTAACGTGGTTTTAACTTTGTGTTTACAGATGTGGAAACGTCTGAAAGATGCATTTGATTTGTTTTCTTTGCGACTGGTGGAAAATCCAGCAATAGAAACGGGCAGATTATGAGATACTGTATAGGTTCTCCTGTTTGAGCGGGGGGAGATGGACTAGATGACCTCCAAGGCCCCTTCCACCTCTAGTCTATTCTGTTCTATTTCCAGGTTTATATTCCTAGTGTGCTGAAGAGGTCTAATCTGATTGTCTAGTTTAAAAAAAATAATATCTAAATCAGGGCTCTCCAACCTTGGCAACTTTAAGCCTGGTGGACTTCAACTCCCAGAATTCCCCAGCCAGCTTTGCTGGCTGGGGAATTCTGGGAGTTGAAGTCCACCAGGCTTAAAGTTGCCAAGGCCGGAGACCCCTGACCTAAATCTTAACAGAAGTTCATAATGTTCTTATATTAGCTGGTTTTAACACACTTTTTTTCTTCCTGTGAGAGATCAAAATAGGTAATAGTCATGGGTACCAGCAGCAATGAATCAAGCTGTGTCATGCACAACATCCTATCATTGCACGAACAGTGCAAATTGTATATTTGTGTGGCACTTTATGCTTACTTGGAAGTAAATCCACCTGAATTCTATGAGCCTTCCTGTACCGGATTGCACTGAATTTTATTTCCTGTGGGCACTTTCTAACTATACCAATCGATCATTTTGTCAGCTGGTACTAGTTGAGAATGTAATTTCCAGATATTTTTTTTACAGTACTTTAGGTCACGTTGTCTCTGATTTTTTTGCATTTGCAGTTGCAATGTTTGTCTCCTCCGTCTGTGCTCAAACCCAGCCCCGGTTACGTTGCAGCAAAATGGAGAGAAAACAATCCTGTATTACACATGAAAAAGTTATTACTACCTATCTTAAGTTGTAAAAATGAGGCTATATGTATGGTTTGGTATAAAGACACACTTTTGCCTCATGCATTAAAGATTTGTTAAGCCTTTCACCCCTTTCCTTGGTGGGCCACAGGGACTTTTGAGGAAAATGATTATTTGATATTGCTGTATAAAGTAGCATTTTTATCTCTTGGCTTACAACTTGGGTTGTCTCATTATTGCTGGGACGAGCCTAACAATGCCAGCATGAAGGTGGCTCTTTAGAGAGGCACTTGAGCAAGGGTCTTCAAACTTTGCAAGCTTAAGACTTGTGGATTTCAACTCCCAGAATTCTTGAGCTAACATGACTGGAGGAGGAATTCTGGGAGTTGAAGTCCACAAGTCTTAAAGCTGTCAAGTTTGAAGACCCTGCACTAGAGTCTAGACTCTAGAACATGTCCAAGGAAAGTGGGTATCTTCATACAGGCCAAGAAAACTACATGCACAACCCTTGCCAATGCTGCAAAGGAAGTTGGGGTCAACTTCTGGATCAGGGTAAAAAAATAAATAAAGATACAATTGCCTTTAAATCAAATTTGGCTCCCGGTGACCCCAGAAGGCACATCCATGTAGTTTGATTTGCAGCAATGTAGAAAAAGTTATACAGGTAGTCCTTGACTTACAGTCATTTGTTCAGCAGTGATTCAGAGTTGCCATGGCATTGACAAAAAGTGAATTTATGACTGGTCCTCGCACTTACAACCATCGCAGCATCCACAGAATTCCAAGGTCATATGAGTGCCATTTGCGACCTTTTCAATGGGCTTCCAGCAAGCCACCCACTAGGGGAAATCTGATTTGCTTAAAGATCACATGTGTGATGACCCAGAGCGTGGCACAAAGGCAACACAGTCAAATAAGCAATAAGAGTCCCTTTATTATCTCCAACTTTGCCCCCAATGTCCAGGTTACCTTAGGGCTGGAGAAAAACTCTCCCAGGAACAGCCTTTGACTGTTACACGCTAACTGTAACTTAAAATCCAAACAAACCAAACTGAAGTAATTAGCTTGACAGGGCAGGAGCAGGAATTTCAGATTTGAAAGCACGCCAAAACTCACACAGTTGGGAAGACGCCAGGAACACAGATAAACCACGACGATACCAGATAAATTCACGTTTGCTCCCAACATCTTGCTGCACGCAGATTCCTTTTTTATACACTGTGTTTCCAGCTGCAGCTAATGAAGGGAATCAGGGCCCTTTCTTCCCCCGTAAGCCACACAATCCACGTTGCTCTCTTCTCCGTTCATCCCTTGGATGAAGAGGGGGGTGGGCTGGGTCTTCCTCTGAACTCCCTCTCCCTTGTTCTACCTCTTCCCTGCTCTGCCCAGCCGTACTTTGCCCTTCCCCAGTTTCCTCCACAGCCAAGGAGCCACACTCCCACTCCCTGTCAGCTGTTCGGCTTCCTCCTCAGAGTCAAATTCCGACAGGGGCATGACAACATGAATTACATAGCAACTATGGCCAAAAAGGTTGTAAAATCAGGCATGAGTCACTTAACTCTCTTGCTTAGCAGCTGAAATCCTCGTCCCAACTATGGTTGTAAGTCAAGGATCACCTCTGGCCTGCAATCCAAAGACGTGTCCCAGGATCTTATGCGAATATTGTAAAAGATTCTGTCGCACATTTTTGTCTGGGTTCAGATCTTGTTGGCTTCTTTGAGGTGCCAGATTCTTGGAGCGAGATCTGCTTCCTCTCATAACTTGTGCGTACCTGATGCACCATCTTGCATTCAGGATTCACTACCATTTGTGTTTGTCATTTCCCCTCTGGGGAAAAAAAAATGGGGAAAATCACGGAGACACTTACTTAAATGCATATTTCCTGCACATTTAAAGAGATCCCACCTTAGTGCCTTCCCAGCTATGTACGTTTGCAACTTGTAGTTACTTGCTTGTTACAGTTCTCTGCATGTTTCTTTCCAGCTAGTGCTTAACTTGCATCTCGTGCATGATTTGTGCCAAATGCATTTTTAACTTGTCTTTGTCTTTGATGCTTGCAACCTAATTCATCCCAGCCACTCTGCCTCGAAAAGAAAGTGCTGTCAAACAGGAAACAGAGAGTGAGTATCACCAGAGCTTTAAGTGGTTATTGCCAGTGCATTTTATGTTTTGGTAAACAAACAAACAAACAAACAAAACAAAATTATCATGGCAAAACCTGTGAATTGTCAGATGCGGTGTTTTTTTGTTTTTGTTTTGCACTGATCTGAGGTAAAAAAGCAAATGTTTGATCAGGGAAGCAGCAAAAAAACCCTTGAATGCTGCGGTGGGATTTGAGTCGTGGGCAAAATAAAACGCGTTTTACAATTTATATTAAAATCAGGAAGATCGTATCTTCCTCATATTTCTTGGAATATGAGTTCTAAAATGCAGGATGCTGATCCTGTGAATGAATCCATGAGGATTGGCAGGGCACCCAAGGAGACAGCTGCAAGGAACTTGAAATGGTTAAATAATGCCAGCATGGAATTCTCCTGCATCCCATCATCCTTATTCATTATGGCAGAGAGCCTCCAAACTTGGCAACTTTAAGACTTGTGGACTCCAACTCCCAGAATCCTGGGAGTTGAGGTCCACAAGTCTTTAAAGCTGCCAAGTTTGGGGACCCCTTGCATTATGAGAATACCACTTTGTGCATACGAAGTCTGACTGGTGGAGAACTTTCTCCCAGTTCTCTTCAGTTTTAACTTGCAGTGATGTGAACTCCAATACTGATATGTATGCCTCCATATTTGTATTTTCAATTAGCTCCCAGCAATTAATTTTGGGAAACATGGTCCCCAGATTGTGATACCTGACTCTTCCCGCTTACGTTCTTGTGGCCAAGTAAATTATTTCAGACGTAACACGCCCGCCTAACTTTGTTAGTCTAAGACCTATGACACGATTGGTATTCAGTGGCATTGCCATCTCCATGGGCATTCAAGTCATCTGTAACTTTCCCACCATGCATTGTCTGCTGAGAACTATTGTGCTGCTCTTCGAATGTGGGTTGTTGTGGCAACACACATCAGGTTTTATGGCTTGAGGCTAGTGTGAACCAGCATTTCATGAGACCTGGGGTACTCTGGGTTGAGTATTACCTGACCACTATAGTGCAGGCAGTTGTTTCAACTCACATGTTTATTCTCCTTAATTCCAATCCCTGAATGCTTTAACATAAAGCACTTTTGACTACACAAAGGATGATCTCTGATTCCAAGGGCTTACAATTTCCTACCCAGTGTCCTATTGCACTTCCTATACCCCTTTCAGATGTTGGGCTCCTGAATTATAGTTCCTCAATCGATATATATATACAGAACAGTTGAGCTAAGCCAAGCCAGGCTTCTTGCTGTCTCCTCCTTGCTCACACAGCAAATACTGTTTCAGTTTCCAAACAGCCCTCAGCTCTCTCACACACTGACAGGACGCTAGCCAGATGAATAACCGATGGATGCTGGTAGGCAGAGGCTGATTTTTTTTCCCCCTTTATTTTCCTCCCCAAAAACTAAGCCCGACCACATAGTTTCGTAGCGGAGCACGAGCTAGTTTAAGAATAAATGTTTTTGAATGAAGGTGAATATACACGTCTCAGGATAGTGTTGTAGGATCCAATCTGGGTCAGTCACCAGGACCAGAGGTTTTGAGTTCAGAAGTTCAGGGATCTTCTCTTGAGCCAGGGAGAAGTTCCCTGAACATGGACTCTGGCACAAATCCAAAAGCTCGGAAGACAAAAAGTTCTGGTGCCGGTGATTGACCCAGATTGAATCCTGCAATAAGCCTTCTTTCTCCAGTACCCTTGCAAAGTGATATTTGGAAGACTTTAAATTAACCACTGTTCCTCTGAATGGAATAGTTCAGGCAGTGATGAATCATCATTACCAGAAAAAAAGCCAGTTTCATAAATGATGTTTTGTGGGCCAGCTTCTTTGCACTGATTTGTAGTTACAATTAACTGCAGTGTAGGGTGAATAAATGAATAATACCGACTAGGGTCAGATGTTTCGGTTGTGACTCCAAATCCCATGCCAGATTGGGCTGATGTGAATGGTGTTTCCAAAACGATTAGAGAGAAACAAAGCCCTCAAAAAATGTCTTAAGCTGACTTAAGCAACGATTTGTCTAGAATTAAAGCAGAGGGTTGCATTCTACTCAAAATTCTGCTGCAGGATGGAGTGAGACATCCCGTTTTAATTTAGAATTTCCCTCGCCCATTTTAGAGGGTCAACGACGCTTGGGTGGTGAAGGGTGTAAGGGTTGGAAGCAGGAAATACGGGGATGGAAAACACACACATACACTCCTAGAACTTTTGATTTTTTTAAGCAAGGAAGCAACACAAAATTGGGAGTCTTCAAACATTTTGATTCCTCTGTAAGAATAGTCTTCTTCTCATTTCTTTCCAGTTTGAAAGGAAATATAATCAAACGGCAGTAAAGAGATAAAAGCTGTCAAAGTAGGTGGCACAGGAGAGGCTTCTACTGGAAGGGCCTTTCAAGAATGAGAAGACTGTCCCTAATTTTTCCAGGAGTTGGTTGCTTCTACTTTCTTCCTAAGAAAATAGTAATGCGTTGCTTTTGTTCCGCTTTGCTTCTAGAAGATGCCCCTTTGTGAATTCTCCCCGGCCTTTCTGTCTACCCTTACTTGTGCTCTTTTCTGGATTACTAGTGGCCTTAGGTGCTAGTTCTTGTCTTGGCTGATCCTAAACGTCTGTCGTTAAGTGTGCATTTCTGAATCAGTTTGCCTGAAGTGAAGCAATTGGGGCAACACCAGAGCAGTTGGTTTAATCTGTAGGGAATGCCCATATAATCTCCAGGTAGCTGAGGAGTTTGTTTTTAAATGTATGATGCTTTACGGTGTTGCAACTTCTTATCTGGCTTGTGTTACGTTATAGGCCTTCACGGAAGCTCTGGGAAATTGACCGGCTCAACATCTAGCTTAAACAAACTCTCCGTTCAGAGTTCAGGAAGCCGTAGATCTCAGTCATCCTCGTTGCTAGATATGGGAAACATGTCCGCTTCTGACCTCGATGTGGCAGATAGGACTAAGTTTGATAAGGTAATTGCAACGATTCTGGGTATAATTGCATGCCAGCTATTGCGCCCCCCCGCTCCCGCCAAACACTAATTTAACACACATAAATGCCATTGCAACCTTCTTGTTTCGCGTGAATCGGGTATTCCCAGCTCTTTCCCACATCTGCAGGCTGCAGTTCTTCATAGTGTTCCTCAGAACTTGATGTCAATGGAAAAAGGATATTCGGTGGGCCCACAAGGATTGGCTGCCTTTTCAGTATGTGGAGAATCCATATGGCAGCAGTTTCTTCATTATCAAGATAGAAAAAGAGGCTATGAATGAGCTAGAAGTTGATCTTTTTATTTTTTTGGTCTTTTAATGACTACGTAATCCCTTGCAGGATGGAGTCGGGGCAACTAATGGAGCTGAGAGTTTACTGGCCGGATGCCCTTCCTGTCACCAATGCAGAGTTCGCAGCTGATGTTTACTCATTGTGCGCCCAGAGAGAGAAATATCTGTCACTACCTAGGATCAAACTCACAGCTTCTTGATTGTGAGGCGACAGCTCGACCTTTAGGCCACTGTACCCCTCAAGTTGATCTCCTAATATTAGCTTTTAATATTTTTAAGCACCTTTTAAAAATCCGGCAGAGTTATTTTCTGAGCTAATTCTGCTTTTTCCTTCTTCCTCTGATAGCGTCTTGTGACCAAAGGTACAAGTCAATTGAAAACACTTCCATTGCTCTTAAAAGGAACATAAAGGCAATCAGACATTTGTATACGTGTGTTTGTGTGTGCTAAATATCTGTTTTGATCCTCATAGATTTTTGAACAGGTCTTAAGTGAATTAGAGCCACTTTGTCTGGCAGAACAGGACTTCATTAGTAAATTCTTCAAACTTCAGCAGCATCTCAGCATTCCTGGAACACCCGTGGTATGAATCTCAATTTGGAAATTATTGACTCAGAACTAAATGGCTGTAACTTTAGCCTGATTTCCATCTAAACTTTCATTTATTTTCCAGAGTGATACCGAGGAGACTGATGGAGGAACTTTAACAAGACCGCACAATATTGGTGGGCTGCAATCAGCATATTCAGAGTATGTTTCCAATTAGCAGGGGGATCTTTTGAACATGAAACACCCTTTGTATCGTGACTAAGTTGTGAATCTTTGTCGCTCAGGACTGTTTTGGAAGTTAGCAGCATATAAATCACATAAATAAATGTGCTGCTCTGCAGCAGGGCTGGGATTCGAATTTCTTAACAACCGGTTCTGTGAGTGCGGCCTAATTTGTGGGTGCGGTTTGGTGGTCACGTGACTGGGTGGGCATGGCTTATATGTAAATATTGTAAATATTTATGTAAATATTTATTTTTTTTATTAAAAAAGAGCAACTTTTACCCAAAATCAGGCAAATCAGGCAGATTGAGTTGCTCACAAAGTCACAGATTCACTTAGAGAGATCTGTGTTTCTGCCATTGGCTACCTGAGTCTGTCACATAAAATTCACAGCACACCACATATGTAAATATTGATTTTTTTTTTAATTAAAAAAAGAGCAAATTTTACCCAAAAGCAGGCAAAACAGGCAGGCAGATTGAGTTACTCACAGAATCACAGATTCACTAAGAGATCTATCTATCTGCAATCTGCTACCTGAGTCTGCACTGAAAAATAGAAGCTTCAGTCCTAAGGAAGGTTCAGCTCTGCTTTTAGATTAGCTAGTAAGCAAATCCATGGATTTCCTGCTTTCTAGCTAATCTAAATCTCCCAGCACAGTAGAACAGCTGATGGGGGGGGAAAGGAAAAATAGCAACTTAGCAGGCAAGTTTACCAGGTGAGGAGTGAGTAAGTGGGGAGGGGCGGGGCCAGCCAGTGGCGCCATTTTCTAGTTCTCCGAACTGGGAAGAATCATAACAACCGGATCTATAGAACCGGTCCGACCAGGTAGAATCCCACCCCTGCTCTGCGGCAATGAACAATTAAAATTAAAAACACAGAAATTCAGTTGAGTGTTGTTTTAAGCATAACGTATTTTATTAGCACCAGGCTGCTCATCAAAAAAAGGAAATGGCAGGATTTTGTATAGAACATTGGACTTTGTGGTGAAATTTTTGAAAAATTTCTCCCAGAATTATTTGAAATCAAATAATGAAGACATGATCGATAGCAAATGGCAGCCAGTTGATGACTGTCTGGATTCAGCAAGTGAAAAAAGATTGGACCTGGGTTGTACTAGGGCTCTAGGTAAGGGTGAGAAATTGAAAATGTGCTGGGAAAAGGCAGATTTGAGGACCTTTCCATAATGATGCCCAGAAAATTGCATGAATCTGCTATGAAGTCTCCAGGAGTTCAGCTTGACTTGACTCAACAAAACCTTGTCCATTTTGTGAATTAGGCAAGGTTTTTTTTGTCACAGAAGTGTCGGCACTGAATAAATGAAGTCTTTGGAATTTAGAATGGGGCAAAAGTAATAACATAATAGTCAAAATGTTTTGATTCTCCTGCCTGGGCAGGGTGGATGGTTGTAGTAGAAGATCTACAAGGTCCCTTCCAACTCTGTTAATCCATTAAATCTGTTAAAAGAGAGGGTAGAGTTTTACACAGAGCAAATGTTATGCAAAAGTTTCTAATCCTGGTGCATAAAGACGTTGTAAAATCAAAAGCACTCAGTTGTATAAATAGCTTCAGTTGACAAAAGGCAGCTTTTTGTGAACTAGAATTGTGAGGAAACTTTTAAAATTACAAATGTGTTGAGATAGTGAGAGCTGTATTCGTTTCTGGTCTTCTTTATCTCTCAAGATGCCAAGCTGAAGGGAAGGAACAAATGACACTTCCTGTAGTCTCAGTCATGTCCAGAGGGTTTTTAAAAAATAACCTGGGAGTAACAGGAAGCTAGTCATATAAATAGCTGCTGCTTATTGCCCCACTGAGATGTTATTAGTGTTTCATGAGTGTTTTTCTGATTATAACTCTGCATTGGCGACAGGAATGGCATCCGGCCAGTAAACATTCAGCTCCATTCAGTTGCGTAGACTCCACCCCGCAAGGGATTATGGGGTCATTAAAAGATTATGATAGTTTAACAAAGCATGGGCTAGTGTGAAGAAACAGAAGCGTCTCTTTTAATTCAAATAATTTAATGATGATAACAGTGAGAGATAAAACTCATTTTAAGTATACTGTAGTACATTAAAATCTCTATTCTGCTATTAGAATGATATTAACATTTTTATTTATTTGTTAAATTTAGCAAGCTAGTCATATCTATATCTCTATCTATCTATCTATCTATCTATCTATCTATCTATCTATATATATATATATATATCTGTTTGTCGCCCTGCTGAGATTTCATTAGTGATTTTCCAACTTGGCACTGACTGGGGAACTCCGATAATTGAAGTCCACACATCTTAAAATTGCTCGGTTGGAAAAAATACTGAAATAGATCAACATTGGTTTCCCCATGAGGCTCTGTGAAATGAATGGTGACTTAGAAAATGAAAAATAATCAAATAAAGTCCTTAAAATAAACGTTAAATCTCAATATTTGCCTAATGCTTTTAAGTATTATTCATATTTAATATTATGTTGCAGGAATCATATGATCCGGCAAATGATGATAAAAATATTTCGCTGTGTAGAACCAGAACTGAATAACCTCATTGCTCTGGGGGACAAGATTGACAGCTTTAATTCCCTCTATATGCTAGTGAAAATGAGTCATCACGTGTGGACCGCGCAGAATGTGGATCCAACCTCCTTCCTCAGCACAACTCTTGGAAATGTTTTAGTGACTGTCAAACGAAACTTTGATAAATGCATTGTAAGTTTGAAGCACTTTGATGATTAGATGATTTGTAGTGGTTGCATGCAGCTAGGATTCTGGATAAAATTCAAGATTCAAAGTGAGACCATTAGATGGGGTGGCCATAGTGTGTAACAGTTCAGTATTTGTATATATTGTATTTATATTTGTACACAAGGACAGTTTTTCCCCGAACAGCATCACTTTGCTAAACAAATAATTCCCTCAACACTGTCCAACTATTTACAAAGTCTGCACTACTATTACTATTAATCTTCTCATCATTCCTTATCGCCCATCCCCTCCCACTTGTGACTGTATGACTGTGACTTTGTCGCTTGTATCCTTACGATTAATATGGACTGTTTCCTAGTATGATTTGATTGATTATTGTACCCTATGACTATTATTGTTGTACCTGATGATTCTTGACTCTTGACGAATATATTTTTTCTTTTATGTACATTGAGAGCATTTGCACCAAGACAAATTCCTTGTATGTCCAATCACACTTGGCCAATAAAGAATTCTATTCCTATTCCTATTCTGTTCTGTTCTGTTCTATTCTATTCTTTTCTATTCAAATCTGTTCTATTCTATTCTATTCTATTCTATTCTATTCTATTCTATTCTATTCTATTCTATTCTATTCTA